TCTACGTGCTCGGCCACGTCCAGCTGGGAGATCTCAGTAAGGACGCCGCTGTTAAAGTCTGTGATATTCCACTCAGCTGTGCTCTTCTGTTTCGTTACATTAACTTCACACCCCGCAGTCATGATGATGGAACAGACTCTTACTTTGAAAGTGTTGTGATGAATCAGTTCCTTCTCCAGAGTTGTGTGTTGCCTGACAACATCAGCTCATCAAGAGAATTTGAAAGTTTCGTTCTGCGCCACGTCTCATCTAAACCATCTCAGTGTGAGAGGGCGACTATTAATTATAAGAAAAACAAACCGGGGGTGGTGATGGGAAATAGTTACCGGATAATTTAACATTAGTATGATATTTAGAGGCTGCACTGACAAAACTAAAAGCTTGTTTGTTTGTTTGTTTGTTTTTCCACAGTCAACTTCAACATTAACACTGAGTTTTAACAGCAGTTTGTTTTACTACAGAAAAGTAATAACACCACTGACGTGTTGTCGGTCTGGACCGCTTCAGAATATGTTTCCAAGTATGTTAGCAGACGGTGAGCAGTGCATCGTTTCACTCTGGGCCTTTCTCCGTGTCACTGGATGTTTTGTTGTGATGCGTCGCCGACGGAGACGGAGACGGAGCCATGTTGTGTTCTAGGTCCGTACGTACGTCCGTCTCATTCTCGTGGACACGATATCTCAGTAACGCCTTGATGGAACTTCTTCAGATTTGGCACAAACGTTCACCAGGACTGAAGAATGAACTGAGTAGGATTTGGTGGCCGGAGGTCAAAGGTCACGGTGACCTCGCAAAACATGATTTTGGCCTTGTGAATGCAATATCTCCAGAACTGCTCAGGAGAATCCCTTCAGATTTGGCACAAACGTTCACTTGGACTCAGGGATTAACTGATTAGATCTTGGTGGTCAAAGGTCAAAGGTCAAGGTTACAGTCACTTTTAAGCCATAAATTTCACACAAATGTTTAATATTTCCCATGACTCTGGATAAACAGGGATGTGGAGGCAGACAACGCTCTGGAGGCGTCGCCTTTCTTTTCTGCACAGACTCACAAGTGTTTAAAGCAGCGGAGTCATTGATTGTTTTCTTTGTCTTTGAGGATATGCTTTTGGTGGGGAGAGGGAGGTTTGGGCGGGGGGGGGGGTTTATGGTGTTGATGGGGAGACTGGGACTGGCCCTGAATGGAGTCTTCACAATCCAAACCCTCCGAGTGTCTGGCTGTGGGAGAAAGGACGCGTTCATGAGCCGCTGAAGAGTCCTGCTCTCGTCTGAGGAGCCGCTCGGTCCTGAGAAATATGAAGGAGTCATTCATTCACATAATTATGTTGAAGAGGATTGTTGTCGAGGACACGTTGCCCTCCCTGTGTATTTAAAGTCTGTCCCATTTATTCTCTCAGCTGTTTCCCTTAAAGCTGAACACTAAGAAAACGTATCCACAGGAAGAGCGGTGTCAGGAGTCATAACACAGCTGAAACTACCGCTGCATTGTCTATGAAGCTTGTAGATCTGGCCTCTGCATCGCTCTCTATATTGATGTTTTTTTTTTTTGTAAATGATTGATCACCTGCCCGTCTGTTTTTGCTTCGATGTATCTTCCTCTGTCTCACATTCTGTCTACGCTGTCATTTGTCCTTGCATCTTTTTCTCTCTCCCTCCACATCTCAGCGTCTCGTCTCGTATCTCTCTCACGCTCTGCCTCTAACTCAGCCTCTGTCAGACTGACTTCTCTCCTCTCAACTTGTGTGTTGCCTTTTGTTTTCGGCCTTCATCCTCTCTGAATCCCAACACACCTCTATTGAACTGTCAGCCATATTTCTCACCTTATACCATTTTTGTTTTCTTTCCACCCTTTCACAGACACGTTGCCGTCGGACCCTCTGCAGTCCCAGTATGACTCCTGGTTGTCCCTGGTGGATCATCTGAACATCAAATCCTTTGTCAACCTGACCTTGGCTGATTCTGTTCGTCACGGAGTCCAACACTTGCTCTTCATCTCTGGACTAGGTCAGTGTCACCGTCATCATTTTTCAATATCCCCGTTGATCAATAAGGACACCTGAGAGCCAGCGTTGATATGTGGGATTACAGCGGCCGATAGCTGAAAGCTGATTTGGAGATTTCTATATTTCTAAATGAGATATAGATATATACGATTATACAGCAAATGTTTTATGTACTTATCGCATTATTTAGTTTATTTTTCATTTGTAGAAATACTTGACAATCCTGGTTAAGATTGGCGCTGCCTGTTTATCTCACTTTGACCACTAGGGGGGGGGGCAAAGTTGAACATTTTAAAATGCTACTCACAGTGGCTAATGGCTTCAGCTTCAGTATCTTTTAAAATAATTTCTCTAACTTTTAGTTTTGGTCTAAATGCGACCGAGGAAATGGTTTAATTTCAACTCCTTTCAAGTTTCAACTGACTTTTCATCAACATTCAGAACTTCCACTTAAACGGAAACGGAAACTTCTTCACAGCCGTTGTCTTTAATGTATGTGTCAGGTGATTTCGTCAGACGGCGTTGCGGTTATAAATTTCAGCAGCAGCTTGGAAGTGACTGCTGGTCAACATGTGGTCTCAGTGTGTTGCGTCTCAGCTCCTCTTCTCGTTCCATTGTCTGACGACAGAAACATAAAAATATGTAAATGAGAAGCTTCATTGTGAATTCAGCTGTATTTAAATACTGTATGTGAGCACAGAGAGGAAGAGCTCAAACACTAGGCACTTTCAAATACGATGTGATGATGTCATCAATATGCTAATTAGCGTATTAAGACATCTAGCTAACAGTTAGCGACTTTTGGATTTAGCTACTTTCCATTGCACGTCGTTGTAGGAGGTTTTGACCTGGTGGTTTAGTTTCAGTCTCATTGGTGAATGTTCTTCTCTTCAGTAACTCACTTCTCATTCGATCTCTAGTTTTTCTTTCTTCAGTCGTCACTCAAGTCCAACTTTAACCACTTTTTTTTTTCTTTTGCCTTTTTTTCTTTCCTCTCTTTGGCTTCCCTCCCAGTTCTCACTCCAGCACTTGTCTTCTCCACATCTGTCTCTCACTTTCACTTCATCCGACAGAAAGACCGAACCTCCTCCGCTTTACGACTCCAGAGATCAACGATCGTTATAAAGAAATCATTTGCATTTGATTGTAATAAAATCTGTCTTTTCTCCTCCTCACCCCGTCTCCAGGTGGGATGCGTCCCAACACCCTCGTCCTGGGTTTCTATGACAACTGCCTTCCAAAGGACAAGCTGGTTGATCCCTCCATGTCTACCAGTCAGTCCACAGATCCCTCGGGCCTCTCTCAGGAGCTCGAGCAGCAGCCTCCTCTCTTCCACTTCGCCCCCCTGCGGAGGGCCATCGACCGGCAGGACTACGGTGAATTCGGCGACGGGAAGGTTCTGGGGTCCCAGGAGTACGTAGCGATCATCGCCGACGCCATGAAGATGCTTAAGAACGTGGTGCTGGCTCGATACTTCAACAACTTCGACCGAACTCAGGTCCTCTCTCCACCCTCCTCCTCCCCAGGGAAGGGCGCCGTGTACGTTGACGTCTGGCCGGTCAACCTCCTGCGTCCCGACAGCTGCAGCTACGTCGACACCTGCTCCCTGTTCCTGCTGCAGCTCGCGTGTATCCTCAACATGGTGCGAGCCTGGAAGAAAGCTACGCTGCGTCTCTTCCTGTGCGTGGAGGAGGGGCGAAGCGTAAGAGGCTCGGAGGAGAAGCTGGGTCAGCTGCTGAAAGAGCTGAGAATCAAAGCGAGGATCTATCCTGTGCCCTGGGACCAGCAGGTGGCGCTACACTGGCAGCGTCAAGGCAAGTGGGGCAAGAAGCAGCAGTCACAAACCCCTGACACCATAAAAGAAGAGACGAAGCCGAGGCCAGATGAAGAGGAGGAAGAGAACGACGAAGACTACGTCAACAGCTTCCCGAGCAACACCATGCGCCTGTCGGACGACTACCTGTCAGCTGTCAATAAGCTGATCCTGGACCAGGCCCGGCCGCCGCCCGCTGTGCGTTTCCTCTACTTGCCCCGGCCTCCAGCTGACACACACCGTTACGCCACCTATTTACACCAGCTGGAGCTGCTGACTCGGGACCTGGGCCCCACGCTGCTCATCCACGGAGTCACACCTGTCATCACCACTGACCTTTGAGAAATCCCACAGTCAGTGAAGTGTGCCTTAGACGCCGACGGTTCTGAGTTTTGCAGTGTCGCCCGCCTGCCGCTGAGGGTTGTTCATGAAGGTGTCTGGACCTCTGTGTCCCCGCTGACCTCAGCACTGCCATGGTACTGACCACTCCCCCCAACACCACACAGGGGAAACAGCCCTTGAAATTTGACCCAGACTGGGGCGTCGCTGCTGACTCCCAAACACCATCTGCACTGCCTCGCACAATATGGACCAACGAAGAGCGAAGTCTCTAGAGACGCAGCCTATTTTTAGAATATTTAAAATGAAGACCAGACATCACACGGTACAGCTTGGCCGCTTGGGGATCACATGAAAGCCTGTCCAGATATTTAACCTCTTCTTGATTTTATTTGTGTTCTCAGCTTGTAGTTCAGGCTTTCCCATCAAGCACCTGAAGGCACCATAATGTTAAATTTAATAGAACCTCGTGCCTTATCAGGTGAATGTAGGGCCTGTTGAGCCATTGCTGGTCCACTGCCGTCTCTCCATTAACTAGTTCTTCCTTTCTGCCTCTAACACAGAGAGCTGTTTAATTCCTGCTTCATTTTTAAGTTTCCTCTGACTCCCCTTGTTCCGCTCTTGAAATGTTCCTGCTGCTCTAATTCCTCAGAATGATCATTCCATATGTCTTCACATGAAAAAGTGCCTTGCTAGATAGGGAGCCTGAATTTGGACTCGGTCACAGACAGAAAGTTGGACAGCTTTACACCTCGGAGCGGCCATTTGCAGGAAATCTGCTCTTTCCATCTTCGCTCAGAACAAAGGAAACAGTCGAACTACAGTAACGACGGTGCTAGTATGGAAAAAACAAAAAATTTCATGTGGGATCTCAGGAAGACATTCCTCTTTTTTTTCCCAAATGCACTTTTTGTCCTTCCTCTGCCAAACTGCAGGTTGAGCAGCTTTTCCAAAACGACTTTAAACGTGTTTACAGCAGCAGTAACTACTGTGATTACCCACCATTTTTATTGATTGTCTTTATGCATTTCAGGTGCTCTGAAACTTTTAGGATTGTTTTCAATCAGCAGTGAACACATCGCTGAAGTGCCTCAATGTATTTTACACGCTGCAGTCTCGACCTTCACTCCAAACTATCTGTAGGATTTAAGGTGAACCTGTGGTGTTCATGAGATCATGGTACATGCTAAAACGTAGCATACTTTTAGCACAGGAAAGAATGCTAACATTAGCTAACATTAGCCTCAATAAGAAGCAGGTCATAACAGACCAAAGGAGACTGCAGCAGCAAAATCACAGAGTTTATTGATTTATCGAGATGTTTGTTGTCAGAAGTTACACGGCTTCACTTAAAGCGTCGCTGCTACACTGCGGCACATTGACATACACTATATGTCCTCGGAGACCAACGTGAAGCCCAGGTTTATTCTAAAAAACAATCTAAGAGGTGTAGAAGTTTGACTTTCTGAAGTAACTACAGATGAAATTCTTTAGATTCATCAGATTCATCCTGACAATCTTGTGTGTGGAGTCCAGATCCACATTAAAAAAAAAAAAAAGGCCGGGTCTCAGATTCAGATTCGGACTTCTCTTGACATCCTGTTGTTTGAAATGAGATATATGTTTACCTGTGGGCCAATTGGATCCACGGACGGCTCCTTGTTTGGACACTACGCTCCTCAACAAACCTTTGACACTACATTTCTTCAGATCTTTGTCCTGGATGTCAGTTTTTTTTTTTAATTCACTGAAGTGCAAAACGTATTACAGGAGACACTGATTAATGAAGAAATGAAATATTCAGTGTTTGGAGAAATATATAAATATATATATATATCAGACTGTTGGACCCCACTGTGTATATATACACTTGACCAGATGTAAACTGAAATGATAAAAAAAAAATAAAATGTTTGTATTACGTGCCCTTTCTTTCTTTTTTTTTTACTTCCTCTGGAGATTATTTGCGGGAGCCAGATCAAAGTTAACCGGCGCTCAGGGCGTCCGGACTTTGTTTCATTCCAGCTTACCAGTCTGAGCGTCTCCCGGGAGCGAGCCGTGTGTGCGCGCACTTGTTTGTTTGAGGTAAACTTTGGAAATAGGGGCTGAGATAGCTCAGCAGCTCAGACAGAGAGATACTAGAGGGTGCCAGCCAGCCAAATTACCTTGTCCTACAGTCACCCTCGCTGCCAACCAGGCAGAAATGGATTCCATCTCGACTCTGAGCTGAACAACAGATTGGAGAAATAAGCCCAAATAACCATCGATATCTGTTCAGGAGGAGGGAGGCTGACATTTATCACTGAGGGAAAGACCCCGGCTCCAAGAGGCTGTGTGTGTGTGTGTGTGTGTGTGTGTGTGTGTGTGTGTGTGCGCTCATGCAAGGAAATGGGTTCAGCACTAGGTTTTCTGATGTGTGCTGGTGTGTGTGTGTGTGTTTAGGAAATTGCTCCATAGAGAAAGTGGAATCAATTTGAGCTGTAACAATTAGTCCGTTAATTGATCGACCAGTTAACGGCTTCAGTTTGCTATCAAGCACAAACAGCAGACAGCCTCTGCTTCCAGCCTCTCACATGTCTCAGATTTGCTGCTTTTCTTCAGTTTTATTTCACGGTTAACTGGATATCTCCGGACACTTGGTGAGAATAAACAAGACATCTGAAGGCGTGCTGGGCTCAGTCCTTTTCCACCATTTTCTGATCACTTGTAGACTAAGAATTAATTGAAAAATAATTGATAGATTAATTGATAAGCAAAATAATTTAGTTGCAGCCCCAACTCAAGCCACATTTTGTTAGAATGTGGATGTTGAAAATATTAAAGACCCCCTCTGATGAAAATCAAGTGTTTGACCGTGTTAACATCCACATGGTGTTTTTTAAATAATACAAGACGTGAGTGAAATAATCATCAACTCCATGACTTGAACTGCAGTGAACCAGTGACAGTGTCATGAGAACAGATTCAGACAGCCAGGGTTTCATATGTCACAAACCTAAGGACCCAATCCTGTTGACTTGTGGGGACGGGGGGGGTGGGGCTAAATAAACCTGAAACCTTGTCAGTACAGAGAGAGAGAGTTAGCATTAGCACAACCGCTAACACTGTGTCAGCCACTGCCAGGTACAAGCTAACAAACAACATAAACAAATAAACGATGCTAACTATGCTAACGGTTCTGACTGAGGCTCAAACATGTGGCTGACCTCATCCAGAATTTCTCAATCAGGAAGTAAGAGTGGATGAGCTTCAGACCCAGTTTTAATATTTTTCTTTTTCTCTTTTTTGCGTGGGAGAATCAGGTTAAACAATATTAATCATAGCAGAGGATTTTGACATTTAAAACAGGTTTAAAACATTTCTGGAGAGGGACTTCTCTTTATGTCTGTAGTAACTGTCAGATAAATACAACCACAACAGAAAACACATTTCAAACAGGGAGAGGCTTTTAACAGCAAAATGATCTACAGCAACATCACCAACAAACACAAAAACAAGAGACACACCAACTTGTATCTTCAAGATTTGTTTAACAGAGCTTTGTTGGAAGATCTGAAGGATCTCTGCGAACAGGAAGTCCACAAAGACGGCAGTACCTGTACTGTACTCCGTCCTCATGGTAACGCATATTCACCATGGGACTCACAAAGCAGCATCACACTGTGTCATTGTTGTTGACTTATTAATAATCTCAATGAGTTTGTTCTTATTCTTACAGACAGGGAAAAATACCAAGCAGTAAAACAGGGAGTTGAAATACTCTCCACAAATGAACGAAACGAGAACAAATATATATCCACTCCAAACTGTCGAAGCTTCTGCAGGAAGTTCAGACGCTGTAATGACACCTGTGTTTGAGTCCCATGACAGTTTTATGTCAATTACTGTTCCCAGATATTTATATCAATTTATTCAATCTTAACTTACACATGTGAGGAGATCCACGATCAAACAACCAACAACTGTTCTACATTTGTTCAAACTGTCGACAATAGTTGACACTAATTTCCCTCCATACTCTTCTGGCTTCGGAATTACATTTTGCGTTCACAGTGTTTTTCTTGTTAAAATAAAAAAATAAAATAAAAAAGCTGTAGGCTGCTGAAAACGAGATGGTGACAGGAAGGAGAGGAGTGACGGAGGAGAGGAACGGTTCACCCAGAGGGGTTCTCCTAAATGTGTGTGTGTGTGTGTGTGTGTGTGTGTGTGTGTGTGTGTGTGTGTGTGTGTGTGTGTGTGTGTGTGTGTGTGTGTGTGTTAGTGACAAAATCAAAGATGGAGACCATCAGGCGGAGTGTGTGTTTGCCTCAAAGTCTAACACTCTGCTCTGTCATGTCTGCAGCCCTGATCAGAAGAACCTTGTCACTTTGACAGTGTGTCATCGCCCTAACCACCAGGCAACGCCACCAGCACACACACACACACACACACACGCACACACCTACTTCAGCACTTATAATTCTCACCACACTTTCATCTCTCTCTCTCTCTCTCTCTCTCTCTCTCTCTCTCTGCGTCTTCAGATCCACTTAATTTTACACGACACACAGATTGCCTGAGTCATCAGATGGATCGGAGGGAGAGATGGAGGGAGGAGAAGAGGGTGGGGTGTCAAGTAGACTTTGGTCACACCGACACTCAGATTCGATTACTAGTTAAGGTTTGTCAGAGGCCAAACACACCTCTGGCCTTTTCCTGTGAATGTTGTTTGCATTCCAATGTGCAGAAAGCATGTGTGCACATTCAGATTACACCACAGAGCGACGACCGGACGACAGATTAAACACAACAGTCACCTGATTGCCAAAGCGTCTCAAGCGTTCTCCAGTGCTGTGATTGCATGTCTTCTGTGTGTTTTTAGAAACATGGCACCGAGATTGCTCCGCTTCACAGGCAGTAAACGCCGCGAGCCGAGTGTGTGAGCGTACATGTATTTGTGCCCTTTAACGACAGCAATCCCACAGGAAAAAGTGCACTAAGTGGTGTCATGTAAGCCTAAAGTGAAGGCTTGTGCAAATCATTTTCCTTCATGTCAATCAAATTGCAGCTCCATTTCCTTCAGGAATATGAGTGTGTTTTGCTCAGTGTGCATTTCATTGTGTGCAGCTCCACCGTAATGTAAATTATTATGAATACAGTGCAACGTGCGTGAGTGTTTTGGAGCCAGATATTAGTATTACTGTGAATCTGACCACATCTTCTTGCAAAAATATAAAAGCAGTCAGTGTTTGACCTGTGACTGAAAGAATCAAAAACCCTCCATTAAAACATCTGGGATGGTTTTGCAGGTGTTAGAAATTTTAGAGGGAAGTTATTAAAATGATACTAAGGTATTTTACTACTGAAACGTTTTAATACATTGACCATTAACCTTTACAGTTAATTCAACTTCTGCATATTGACACAGTTTTCTTAATTCAAAGTGTTAGACATAACTTTAGACAAACCAAGCCACTACAGCTGGGGGGAAACTGTGCTTTTATGATATTTTCCTCCTTTTTTACTGGGATATTTATGGTCAGTACATTCATATTTATAGCGATAAGGATTGTTTACTGTTTAGAAAAGGAATTTAGTGTGCAAAGACCATGGGTGATAACAGATGTTGGGATGATGTATTTTTCTAGGCCAACCTGAATGTTAGCATCACCCTGGTTCCCTCTACAAAAAGCCAATGGGATTTTACATTGGCTTTGGATTGCAGCAGAAAATAAACTCTGTGAAATACAAAACTTTATTATACTTATACATTTTGTACAGCAGTATAATCTTCACAAATGAACACAACTAATATGATTTTTGAAGCCTAAATACAATCACCAGAAGTAAAAAGCTAATGTTCA